TGTCTCTGTGCTGTGATGAACCTCAATCCTGACTGCAAATAAGCTGTTGCTGTGTAGAAAGTCACAGAACTGTTGTCCTTACTGACAGACAATGTAGGTCCCAAACTTCCCAACCTCATTTTAGTTCCCCAACTCTTCAAGGTGACTTATTTCCAGAATCTGTGCTCATTTTCTCATTTTGGTTTCCTGATGTCTCAGGGCTGTTGGTTTGGACCAGAGTTCGTGGTAACTTTTGATCTGAAAGTTTTGTATGAACAAGTTTGTTATGTCCTCTCTGTGTCTGCAGACTTACTACCGTGTCAGTAACATGGACGGTCGTCTGTCCAATCCTGATCAGTCTCTCACTGAGGACATCGTCATGTTTTCAGCCTCCATCGCCCATCTCTACTCCAACCTGACCAAACCCATCCTGGATGTGGTCGTCACCTGCTATACCCTGCTGCGCACCGCGCAATCCAAAGGTACGTCAGTGTTACTGAGGTCAGACTGTGTTACTGAATAAATGTCTGACATCCTGATGACTCCAGGATCATCCTCCCCGCAGGAGCCAACACCACGTGGCCCTCCATCATCGCCGGCTTGGTGGTGGTGCTCACTGCCAAAGTCCTGCGCTCCTGCTCGCCCCGGTTCGGGAAGCTGGTGGCTGAGGAGGCAAGGAGGAAAGGAGACCTTAGATACATGCACTCTCGCATCATCGCCAACTCTGAGGAGATCGCTTTCTATGGAGGACACAAGGTAACAAAAAAACACCCCCGAGTGGACAGAAACAGACACAAGCAGCTTGAAGTAATGAGGATGGCAGAACGTCATTACCATCAATGAACGGTGTCTGGGTACGTTTGATTCGTAGGTGGAGATGGCCCAGCTGCAAAGGAGCTACCAGTCCCTGTCCTCTCAGATCCATCAGATCCTGCTGAAGCGTCTCTGGTACATCATGCTCGAACAGTTCCTCATGAAGTACGTGTGGAGCGCCTCTGGCCTGGTGATGGTTGCCGTGCCGATCATCACCGCCACAGGATACTCCAAATATGGTAAATCAATAAAATGATTGTCATGATGACAGCATGAGAGCAGTTTCTGCAGTCTGACCTTTGACCTGCGGTGTCTCCAGACTCTGAGGAGGTGAAACAGGCCGCCATGGTGATGAAGGAGGAGGAGTTGGTGAGTGAGAGGACGCAGGCCTTCACCACGGCCAGGAACCTCCTCAACGCTGCAGCCGACGCCGTGGAGAGGATCATGAGCTCATACAAGGAGGTCCTGCTCCTCTTTCCCTGCTCTTCTTGCTCTTGTTGTCTTGTCCTCTCTCCTCCTCTTCCTCTCCTCCTCCTCCTCCTCTCCTCCTCTTCCTCTTCTCCTCTTCCTCTCCTCCTCCTCTTCTTCCCTTTCCTCCTCCTCCTCTCTTCCTCTCCTCCTCTTCCTCTCCTCCTCGTCCTCTCCTCTCCTTCTCTCCTCTCCTCCTCT